TATTACACTCGGTCCCTGTAGAGTTAAAATAAACAGCTACCATGTTATCCGTCTGCCAAGCAACACAGCACACCTGATTCCTCCTACATCGTCGGTATGGCACATGCAGGGAGGCAATACAGGCAGAGCCTTTCTATGTCCTGCTCGAACACTCTGGCTGTTCTCTCTGTCTCCGTCTGCAGGAATATGATGTGGAGTGGGGTAAGAAGATCCAAAGCGAGAAGTTCCGCTGGCATAACTCTCAGTGGCTGGAGATGGTGGAGAACCGGCAAATGGATGAGGCAGAGCCTTGTATGTATGGAGACGATGGAGAACCTTTCCTCCAAAATGGTGACATCCTGGAACGACAAGACCTCTTCTACAGTGCAGGTTACATTGGGCAGGGGTTTTAAGAAATATTGCTGAAAGATTAAGTAAAGACAAGATTTTTGTTTCAAATAAATGCTGTTCCTTTGAACAACAACTGTTTTCAACATTGAAAACAATAAGAAATGTGACACTGAAGACTGGCGTAATCATGCTGAAATTTTATAAATATATTATTTTTTAATAATAATGTTAATAATTATACATTTAATTATAGTTTATCATAATATAATTAGATATTTAATATAAAATGTTTTTTATTAATTTTTTTTTTAATTTTAATAATAACTGCACTGAGAAATTGAAATAGTAATGATTTATCTTTGTATTTTCCTGGCTCTAATGCATTAGTGCCAATAATAAATGTTTTTTTTTTTGTGTGTGTGATTCCTTCAGATGGAATAATCCCAGCTGATGGTGCCATTAGTCCAGAGTTCTTCACAGACTTCCAGAATGGAGACCTGTTAGGACCACAGGGTTTCCTCAGCAGGTACATTTAAATATGATGAATCGGTCAGACTGACTGCAGCGGATCTGTTGGCTTTGTTATTACTGCATCACACACACACATCCTTGTCTGCCAGTTTTGTTGCTTTTAGCAGGGAATGGCCCAAAAGTACCGCGCCAAAGGGTCCTATAGCATCCCAGCAGGCCGTAGCACTCCTCCAACAGTAATACCCTTAGCTTTGAGAGTAAACACAGCTCCCTCTATTCAGCTTTTTCCAAATCTGTTTCAGTTGCCATATACCTACTGTTTAGGGGTTTCAGAAAAACACTTATGTGATGACTTGATGTAATGATTTATGGTGTAGGCCACTTTGTGTTATGGGACTATGCAAAATATCTGAGTTCTTATCCAAATATTCAAATCATGGATAGCAGAGGGGATTATTTGATATGGGGACATTAATACTATAATTCAATGACCTCTTAGAATGACTTCTTTGAAACGTCTTATTTAGGATTGTGTGTCTTTACTGATAGGTTGCCGGTCGTCTAAACAACAGAGAGAGTGCTTTAAATGATACATCAGTCTGTGAGAAAAAGGTGGTTGTCTTAAAGTCAGAGAAGAGGCGCTGAAAAATAAAAGGCAAGTGAATACGAGTGGGAGGGGGGCGGCAGAGGAAGCAATGTTTTTTTTCACAGTTCTTTGTAAGTGATACCTGTAGAATACACTGAGAGTGCACAGGGAATTGGGCGGCCTGAAAGTGTGGTTTTCATTTTGTCCGTGTGGTGTTAGAGATCCAGGTTAACACAATAATGAAATCCAGCCTCAGTTCCCCCGCGCCGAGCCAGGAGCCAGACACACTGGGAACGGCTCTTTTAAAGCCCTTTAATAGAATCACATTTATTTATAGAATAGCACAGAGCAATATTTCATTTAGCTCATAAAAATGCTTTATTTCAGATGAAAAACAAATTCTTGGCTGTGTTTGCTTGGAAAAAAAGGAGTTCCTCATTTTGAATGTTCAAAAATCACAATAAGGTAATTAATAAAATATTTTAAAGTAAAATTTAATGGTTTCAAAGCAGTTAAGTGCAACAATTTTATCTGAACGCATATAACATTATTGTCAGGACCAACCTGGAAATGTACAGTAGACCCAAAAAGTGTTTTGATTCTTAACTCAAGCCACGTAAAATGTTTAATGTCACTAAGTTAGAAAGTGGCAAAGTTAAACCAAGTGGCATTTATTTATTTGACTTTCTTTGGATACTTTCCGTTGGCAAATGTTATGTAACAGTTAATGTGATGAACTACACCTGTGGTTACTCTGCTGAGACACCTGTGTGAACTTGAGGGGGACTGACTTCATATATTCACTAATATAGACCAGTTGGTTTAAAGTAATAGAACAAATGGCTAAATAATTAAAGTCAGCTCTGAGAAAACCTCTAGCATCAGTAGTTTGCAGATAACACTTGGTTTGATAAACTACAGTTCATATTTTGGGGTCAATTTTTATTTTATTTTTGAAAGCAAGGAGGCAATATTTAATAAAAAAAAACTGTTATTCTAAATTGTAATAATATTTCAGAATAAAACTGTTTTTACTGCATTTTCTATTAAATAATTGCAGCCTTGGTGAGCTTAAGATATTTGTAAAAATTAAAAATCATACTGATCCCAAACTTTTGAACAGTAGAGTAAGTTATGTCTAATGCAGTGAAACTTAATACATGTTTACATGTTTTTTCAAACAATTTATGGGGCTTTACATATTTTTTGTGTGCTCATTCATTCATTCATTCATTGTAATTTAATGGAAAAGAGCATCTTCTTTTATCCCTTTGTGTTTCATGAAAGAAAGTCAGTTAAATTTGGCATGCCATGAGGGTGAGTAAATTTTAAAAAATTATTGTTTTTTGGCATCAGAGGAAGGAAAGACTAAATTCTGGTAACACCAACTCTTTCCTGTTTAGAGGTTTCTGGGTGTTTTTTTTACAGGATCTCACCTCTGTGTTAACTCTCAGGGGCCCCTGGGGCCAGACATTGGGATCTTTTCCAGGCTCAGATCTCCAGATTATCACCAAACGCACCGTGTCTGTGGCCCTCGCGTGTAAAGGGCCAACGGCTGTGTTTCATAAGAAAGTTGAAGAATAAACAGTTTCCCCATCTCAAATTATTTGGTTTAGATTAAATGATTAGACAAATGGGAAAAAAAAGGTTGGTGTGAGACTTTTGTAACATCATTCTTTGCGAAACCTTACAGAAAGTGCATAATTTTAACTTTCCTGGAAAGGATGACAGGATTGTTTTGGGATGAATTATTCACTGCAAGAATGATCGTAGCACACAAACACACACTTTTTAGGCACGTCTCTTACCTGGACCCTCTTTGGATTAATCATCTGACCTACAACACACAGCCTTATCTTTCCTATCAACCCTTTTCAGTTGAACTTATTCTGATAGTTCAACTGAAACTCTTTGACGTCCATTTCAAGCCTTTTAACAAAGTCTGAAATGTCCCCAGACAGCAGTGGTGTCCCTCAGAGGATAAAGACAGACATAATGTCCGGAGAGGGAGGGTGTTCTGGGAGTTAAGAGGTTACGCATGTAACTGATCACTGGAAGTTTTTTAGTCTAAACAACTCCTCATTATGGGAGCCTTTGCCTCATTAAGGGGCAAAGCAAACAACCCATATTTTATGAGGACAGTCCAGAGACGGGCTGGTGTTGTTAATTAAGAGGCAGATTATGCTAGTCCACATAAGAAAATATATTCACAAAATAACATGACGCATAACAACACAACATATTGTATAACACAACATAATAAATTGAATATAATGCGACAAGATCGCATTAGCCCATTTCTGCCACCTAAAAAATAAATAATAATTGTGCTCTGGTAAGTCATAATTATGACATAAAGTCCAAATTATGACTTAAATTTAAATTGAGATTAAAAATTCAAAGTTATGATTTAAAAAGTAGAAATTATGAGATTAAAAAATCAAAATAGACACTAATTTGAATCATGACATACTAAGTCGAAATTGATGTATTCATTTTGATTCATAATTCTGATTTTCTGTCATAATTTTGATTTGTCATAATTGACTTCTTAATCTCATAATTTAAATTTAGAATTAAATAATTTAAGTCATAATTTGGATGACTTTATATAATAATTTTAAAATGTAGATTTTCTTTTCTCATAATTTCGATTTTGAAAGTTAAATTATGACTAACATTTTTAAATTATTATATAAAGTCATCAAACTTATGACTTAAATTCTTCACATGATGACTTAGTCTGTCATAATTTTTTATGTCATAATTTGCATGTTGTGGTGGGAATGGGTTATGGGTAAGGGGTTTCATACATTGGCCATTTGTCTTGAAGAATTACTATAATTGTTCTGGTTTAAAAATCAAAAGCTGAATTTATGAACACTCCTGGGGTGAATAATTAATAAGCAGTTCTGTTTTAATCTCGGTAGCTCTATTTTGCAGAATCAGAGCGCCATCTAGTGATACTTCAAACCTTTAAACAAGTAATTTCCTCATAAAATGCACATTATCATGATTTATGTAAGCTTTTTGTGATTAATCTCAACTCTCATGTATTTCATCAGTTATATGACTGCCTGACAGATGGCTGTGTCTCTTTTCCGCCAGTTCTTTGACGGACGGATACGTACAGACAGGTGTGACTCCAGCACGTCCTGCCACGGCTTACGGCTTTCGGCCTGATGAGCAGTTTTATTACGGTTACACAGCATCACGGTAGGAGAGTATCAATGAAGCCATTCGAAAACTCTGAAAACCGATTAAATGTAACTCAAATACTGTTTGTTAGGTCTCTTTATCATTTCAAATGAAAGCAACACTACTGATTTTTTCATTGTCAGTATTTCTTTGTATATTTATTGCATTCCACGTGAATCTCAATCTGAATGTGTTTTAAACAGAATGTTTTCAATGAAGCTTTGATTTGGGGCTAGATCATGTAGTTTCGGTGTATAGCCTACTGTGTATTGCTTGTCAACACTGAAGAAACGAATTGCACCACATTGCCTTTTCTGTGCAATATAGCAAAAGTAGGCGTTTAGTTGCATGCTGTTTCAGTGGTGTAGGTGAGTGAAGTTTTGAGGGATGAAAACACTCACTTTTTATACATTACAACAATCATGTCAGTTTCACTGCATGATAGTGGTTCATGTTTTGGTTTCTGGAAACAAAATATTGTAAAGCTTCAGCTGCAACTCATGTCAATTATTATTGTTCATTATAGGATTTCGATCAATGTTGCATGTTTACATAAAGCAACTGACTGTAAGGGTCATTTTAAAGATTGTGGTGCCCCCCTGTGGACTCACCTATGAAATTATATTATGTTCAAATACATTACATATATGACTGCTGTCTTTACAGCACAGTGCCCATGCTAACAATAATGTCATTTTGCGGTCTTAATATCTTCACTTCTCACTAATGTTGCCTGTTACTTTGCCTTTGATACTGTAGTAGTACAAATATAACAACACGGCTTTCTTTTTTATGGTGCACTGTTAAGGAATTCTTATGTATTTTGTAATGTAGCCAAACTTAAGTGTTCTTTTAAAATAATACTGGTCTATTGATGTGCGTTTTAGTAACTTCATTGGTGCCTGGGGATTGTCTTAATGACTGTTTAATATAAAATGCCTTTTTATTTAATTGTGGTGCGATATGAAATACAAAAATTGATGTGCAAAAGGTTTCCTTGTGCTTACTTTGATAGGAATATTTCGTGTCTTTTAGAGTTTTAGAACAGCAGAAACTCAGCAAATGTCTAGTTTACTCTCACTTTAATGTGATGAAATGCCATGCGTGCCATACATATTTAATCATTCAACCTATCATTCCTTTAAAGGGTGGTCATGCTTATTCAAAGATGTATTGATGGACTGTATTATTGTTTATGTGGATCTTAAATAGATAGTCAAGTGCCCAGAGCAGAATCTGTAGTAATGACTGTCTCCATATATAGACAGATCTCAGTGGTTCTGCGAATCTGAAGTGCATATGTGTCAAATCTTTTTGTGTCACTCAATACAGATTCATGACATAAAACGGCACTGTGCTTTCGGTATGTCACAGAGCCAGATTCCATGGCAAACAAACCCGTCAGGCCTGCATTATGGGTCCAAAGTAAACAGTCAGCCCTGGTTCATGTCGTCTGAAGGTTGGAAACCACCTTGCGAAAAGGCATGTTCCTTACTTAAGGATTCCTCAATGTTTCACAAAGGATATCATTTCCAAATACAATATTTATGTTACAATTTAGTACCTCATATATTATTCAAATGCTAACATATCAATTCATTTGAACATATTAGCTTAAAACAGTATTGAAATAAGGTTATCTATATAAAATTCTTTAAATAGTCCTTATAAGATAGAAAAACATGTTATCCTCTTTAACTAATTTAAAAGAACAATATATACACTACCATTCAAAATGTATAACAATTTTTTTTAATTTACATTTTAAATGGAATGTTATTTAAAATGTAAATATTTCTACAGTTTAATAACTGGAAATTGATTATGTGTATATATATATATATATATATATATATACACACACACACACACAAAGTGAATTATAATTACCTCCTGCACAATGAAGAAACCAAGTTCAAAATGTACAGTTTGCCTCTTCACACAGTAAAATGGAGGTGTGGACAAGTTGAGTAAAGTACTGACACAGTCATTAAATCTTAGACTATAGCTTCTGGTTCCTCGAACTTTTGAACATTTTCTCCATTGTCTTTACATGTCTGAATCACCTCCTCGACTTCAATAACCTCCATTACAAGGTCACGGATCTCCTTCACACAGCCTAGGGGGCTGGTCTCCTCCTCTAGGTGTGGTGAAGACTGGGTTTCTGAAGCTTTTTCTGGAAGATCCATGATTTGTTTGTCTGTGAACTCTTTATAGATATCTCCAGCTTCTGCATCTTGAATAGATAAGCAAACGGCTATTGGATTTGTGCTTTCATCGCGGATCAGTATTTTAATCTGGGCTGGATCATCTGACGAAACCGTTGGGTTGCTGTTGTCCTTCGTTTCAGCAGCAGGGTCACCACAGATCGGACTGATTGCTATTGTGGACTTTTTAGCAAAGTCTGAAAAAGTTGCATCATCTCCTTTTGGTGAACAAGAAGTACTAGCACTTTCTGTGGCTTCTGTTACCATAACAACCGGGGTGGGAATGACATCCGTGGCGATTGTGGTTGTTATGAGTTCTGGTTTAGTCTCGGCTGACGTAATCGAGGTTGACGTTTCAGTAATTACATCATCACTGCTCTCCTCTAAGAGTGTCTTGTTCTGTTCATCACTGATGTTTCCCATGACAGGCAGAGCTTGGCTCAGTGTGCTATTTTCTGAATTTAGCGAGTGAACAGTCACTGATTTGTTTGCTATTATGCCGTTACCCAGCAGCGGGGAGGGCGGCAGGGGCATACGCTGGCTCGGGGCGGTAGTTAAGTGTCCTGGGCTGCTGGGTGCAGATCCCGGGGGAGTGAAGGACAGGCTGGACACACTGAAGTTGTATCTGCTCTCTGTCAAAAGGTTGAATTTCTTCAAGCTGGCTGCCTCCTTGACCACTGCCAATCAAAAGCACAAATCAGATTTGAGAATGTTTTAGGCAAATCTAAATGAGTAATCATTCCTTGTTTTTTGGGATATATATATATATATATATATATATAGTGGCCCTAAAATGTATTAGGAGTCGGACAGTCCTCTAAGCAATTTCGAAATATATGTTAACCACTGGGCTCCACTGGGATATACAGTATACTACCATTCAAAAGTTATGATTAGTTAAATAGTGAGTTCATTTCAAATCATTTATTCAAAATAGAAGTCTTTTTTAATAATGTAAAAGGCTTTACCATCACTTTTAATCAATTTAATGCATTCTTGCTGAATAAAATGATTCAATTAAAAATCTTTTTTTTAAAAACCATTTCTTCCAAAAAATTTTTTTAAATCTAGACATCATCCTTATGCAAAAATGCATGCATTTTATTTTAATGCTGTAAAACTAAATAATACCCGATATCAATTACGTCTTTGTGAGTAAACTTGTAGGCTTGTTGTGATCATGTGACTTACCCATGCTGATGTCCTTTTCCAGTATCTGGTGGATAATGTCCTCATACAAGTTTTCCACACTGATGAAGTTTGAATAATCGGCGAATATGTATTGCTCAAATTTAGGTAGTTCCTAAAGGGAAATTTTAAGAGAAGACATATCTATTAGGAAATATCAATCATTTATGGTTTGTATATTTAAGCAGTTAGTGCTCATATTTCTCTGATTATGCGACTGATCTCAAATGTACCTCTTTGAAGGATGGGGCCAGATGCTTCTTGATGCTGGGTAGAGTGATGTTGATCAAAGCTTCCTGGAGGATCCTCTTTCTCACTGTGCTGCTGTCATAGTCAAATTGCTGAACAAAGATAAATTAAGCTAAGCAATGTGATACATTTGTGTTTGTAAATTAAAAGTTATATGCTTACCTTCAGAACCCTGTTCGAAGCCTTTTGCATAGCCATCGTGAGGTTGACAGATGGGTCCTCCAGAGCCTTTCGCACAAGCAGCTCAAAGGTGTACTCTAGATTCTCCATCAGCTAAAACCATCACACAACAGACACTGAAAACCTAATCGATCACAGTAAGACTATAGAGTTTATGCAAATAATTCAGAATGGAGTTGAGTTCTTAGTTGTGGGTACCTGTTTTAAGTCGATCTCTGTGCTGTTCGCCAAACCTTTGATGCAATAGTTGAAGGTTTGCTGTAGCTCTTGGATGTGATCTGCCAGCCCACTCACTTTTTGATAACAGCTCTGTAAATTAGCCTTACTCATCTTAAACATAGCCTTAAGAAAGAGAGCAACAGAAGAAGAGTTTAATATATTGACTAGTATTAATTAAAAAAAAACATACTAATTTGGCTTGAGAAATGGAATATAATGCACCAGATGAATGGACTGTCTGCTGCTTAATCATATTTTTTTTTAGCTCCTCTCACCTGTCGGAGTTCCTCACTCTGGTCAGCATCCTCGAAGTCCTGGCAAAGCTGTTCCATCATGCTCTCGCTCAAGTCCCGGGCCTCTGTGAAGCCCAGGCTGATGGGCCCCATGACTTCCTCCAAGACGGCCGGCAGGTAAGGCTGCACATGCTCAGTGCAGTATTTTGTTGCTGGCTCAGCTACCATAGCTACCCAGATTCAGAGAGTAAAATTATGGTACAGTACATAGACTCAGATATGGTAAACACCCACATATGGTAATTTTTACAACAGAGTAACTGAGGCCAAATGACATCTTGCGGGTAACACTTTCTTATTACATATGTTATATTACTGTTCTAATAACAGTTTCATAATTACATGCCACCATATTCCTCCTAACCCTGTAGTAAGTAAACGTTAATGTAAGTGTTAATTAATTTTACTCGGTACTTAAATGTATACCACAAGAGGAACACCTTAAAATAAACTGTAAACCAACTAGCTTTACTGATGGCCATTCAAATGAAATATACATTTGATGAGATATTTATATTACATTACATTTTATATATATAGATACACTTCCGTTCAAAAGTTTGGGGTTGATGAGATCTCGTATGCTCACATTATAATTTTTATTAAACGTACTAATATTTATTAACGTTTCTATTTTGATATATTCTGAAATATATAATGTTTGAAATGTATGGCTCCATTACCACATTCTTCAGTGTCACATGATTCTTCAGAAAATGCTGGTTTGCCGATCAACATTTTTTTATTATTATCGACGCTGACAACATTTGTTGTTCTTTATATTTTTGTGGAATTCATCTTTTTTTCAGGATTCATTTATGATTATAAAGTGAATTGCTTCATAAAAGTGTGTGTGTATATATATATATATATATATATAGTGTACATCAATGTTTTGCAAGTGACAATTTTCAGTTTCAAGGCTCTTAAAAGCGTACATATTTTTAGTGTGATCATGTACCTCTGAGTTTGCTCTGCACGAAAGTTCTTGAGCTGATGATCTGGTCCATGTCAGAGCGCATGCGTGCCTCCTGCTCTTTCACCATGTCTTTGCACTCCTCCTTCAGTGTGGTCAGCCTTTGCATTAGATGCTCTTGCAGCAGAAAATAAGCAGCTTCAACTGTCTATGAGACAAATGGCAGGGGTCAATTAATTAATAACTGTTCCATAAGTTACGGAAGCTATGGAATGTAATGTGTTTCTGGTATGTTTCTGGTTTGTCCCTCCCTTTAGGAAACACCAAAGGGACATTTCTGGCCTCCCTGGCCTAAAGCTATTTGGGTGTGGGGCATCCTAGATCTACGTCAACATCACACACCCAAGTTTTAAGTTTAAAGGACAGGTTCTGGAGAAACCCAATGCCATAATGGGAAACTATTTGTACAATCTTTAGGACAGGAAAGAGACGCACTGCAAACCACACTCTTCTCTTGTCTGCCCTCTTGCTCTTCATACATGGCTGCAGTTCTTTCTCCAGATAGGGCATTAAGTCCTCCATGAACAGATTAGCAAGACCCTAAACACACACAGATTCAGAAATATTACACATACATCTGTAGCTAAACAAGACTTAATAAACATTGAGCGCAAACTTAATAAACTCCCATGTGGCACACTTTATGTAAACTTAAATAACAGACTAGACTGATATGTTTACCTAAAACCCACATAATTAATAATTGATCTGCCTTCAGTCATTTCTCAAACACGATCCAAATCAAAGTATTTAAATGAACAGACTAACAGGTAACAATATTAATAATGAAATACTAAAGTAATAAGCCAATCACAGCCAAGTTTTACAATGTTTTTACCCCCTTATCCATGATTCAAGCACAGAAAAGTGCAGAAGTATGATAAAAGAAACCAAAGAATTAATTGTTAAATGGATTACAATATACATTCTGTATATTTATATTAATTATGTTATAAAATGTGTTTGTGTGTGTATGTATATAGATATATATTTCACAGTGTTCATACTGTGAGCTTTAGGACACTCCATGGCACATATTGCTCTTTCCAGTTCTAACAAAGTTAAAATAATATGTGCTGTGAGATAGGCAACACTGACAAATGTGGTGTATCGATAGTTCATTGTCATGTTTGCTTTAACAGGTGAAACTCCAGTGAAACTGCCTGTGTGCAGCATTACTCAGATTCCACACATGCTCTGATGTAACAGCGTGTGACTTGGGGACTCTATGTATTATACAACAGAAAAAAATTCAAATTATATTCAAATCTACCATTTAATGAGGAAAACAAATTCTTTAGGAAAAAATGCCGAATTACACCAACTATGAAAATATGTGTTTTGCATCTTGGTTCCAGCCATTTATAAATGATAAAGATTGTCTTAACTGTCACAGTAAATTCAAAAACATTCCACAAGCTAGAACATTCCATGGCATACTAGAACAAAAGCTATCTAGTTTCTGACAACATGTGCTGTCAATGTGAACCAGAACAAATGTGGAAGGACACCTACCCGCACATCACTGCCTATGAGCATATCCCATGATTCATACTGGCCATTCTCCTGCCTATAGAGCTGAAAGGCTTTGAGGAAAGCTTTAACCTCACATGTCTTCTTCTTGAGAAAATCTGTTGAATAGATCAAATGTTTTCCCTTTAATATAAGCTGATATATTTCAATATACCACAACTTCCACTGGCACTGGTTTTATCACAGTGAAAGTCATACCTTTGTTCTGGTGGCGAATGCAGTCAGATAAGATAGAGATGAATTCAGCTTGCGAGTTTTCATCTCGGAAACAGAAATAGGAATCTCGGCGGTACGGAAGTCTAAGATAAACTGGGTACTCCCCCGGCATGTCCGCCACAGGGGGCGCGAAATCCTCCTGGACCTCTGCAGCATACACACAATCACATTTTACTCCATTATGTTAGTTAATTCACCAATACGTTTACTGTATTTATAATAATAGTTGTATATAATATATATTACGTTCGTCATAAATCTTTTCAGTAAATAAATAATGATTATAGAAAACAAAAACAGAACTCTTAGGTTAAGCATGGATTAATCATTCACAATAATACCATAAAGAAATTAAATAGGGTATTGATTTTTTGCTAAATTTAAATTAAGTCATGTTCTATTAAAAACAAAATAACATTTATCATTAGCTCAGGAATGAATGGGTTTTAATATTACTGAAAAGACAATATTCAGTAATATTATAGATTCAACTGAATGAGAGACAATTGAATGAGAAAGAAATTTGATATGAGCTGAGCTGGATAATAACACTAACTTTGTAACATTGACACTGTTATTATTGAACTGAACTGAATCAACACTGATTCTGTAGAAACTGAATTTGTTTCATAATTGATGAATTCTACAACATTAACACTGCTATTTTCCTGTTTATTACCGTGAAGCTATGTTTACATAATCTGCTATATGAATAAATCGCTATATAAATAACTGACTTAACTTACTGTAAAGGGAGAGTTCATCCAAAAATTTAAATTCTCTCAACCTTTACTCTCCCTCAAGTTGTTCCAAACCTGTATACATTTCTTTGTTCTGCTGAACACAGAAGTCGATATTTAGAAGAAAATGGGTAACCAAACATTTGATCGGCCCCATTGACTTCAGTATGGAGGGGAAAACAATATGGAAGTCATTGGGGCCCATCAACTAATTGGTTACTAACATTCTTCAAAATATCTTCTTTTGTGAGTCAATTTATGCTCCATGGCATGTGTTGAACCCCGCTAATAACGAAAAGACTGTCTACCCAGCTAATTGGGAATGCTCTCATAACTTTGGCTAACATTGTAGCTGGAAAGGTTCCTCTCAAAGTTATGAACAAATGTTCTTCAAGTAACATAAACAGAATGTTTTTTAACGTTATGTGGTCTTTAATAATTGCTGAATAAGTACATTAGCTCGTTTAAAATCTATGCATGGTATTGGGTACTCTTAATTAATTGTACTCACTGTTGGTGCAAGGGCAGACCTGGTCAATCATTTCCATATATTTTTCTTCTGTAGTCAGAATGGTGCCCCCTGTAGGTATCAGTCTGAGTATTGGAGGGGCACCTTTCACAAACGCCTGCAGGAAAGCAGGTTAGAGATACTTAGGTAGGAAATGTTATCAGTACCCCAGTTAGAAAATGTTCATTCTCAGACGGTTAATGATGGCTAATACCTTGTAGCTTTCGTGGCACTCCATGACGTGACAGGCACGCATCACAATAAATCGATCCTTCCACTTCCTGCCGTCATCAAAGTACCGGACAGTTTCCTCATACAGCACCTTTCCAGACTCTGGAGGGGCCTGGATAATGTGATAATTTGTCGATTTCATAAGAATAAATGAATACAGATAACGTTATGTTAAATCCATCTGATATAGATATCAGATATCTGATTCTTACCCGTTGTTTGAGGAACTGTGTGTGTTCTTCTTTGCGTTGTTCAAGTTCATCTTGGATCTGGGACAGGTAAGCCAGAGAATATTGTTTCCTATAAATCGGTGCGAACTTTTTAAATTTCTCATCCACTTGCCCTGCAAGACAACACAATACTGAGGTAATTACAATAGTAAAAAGACTAAAAGTCAAAACAGGTCTATTTTATTCTCAAATAATTACAAACAACTGCCCACTTGCTCAGCATGAATTCATATGGCATGCATTGATCTAACATTTAACATTCATATTTTACTATCATGTGTCATAATAATAATAATAATAGCATGTAACATCAGCTCATGCCCTAAGATTGGGCCCAAGTAAACAGTCATTCCAGAGGTGATACTAGTACTGCAAAAATTAATCTTCACCTTTATTTAACGAAACACAACTTTGTTTCGTACATATATTGTTTTGTTTGCTTATAAATCAGCATAAATCAGTTCAATGATGACCTTTTGTAGCCCCGCCCCTTTTCGGCGTTGCGAATGAACTGCTCGTTAAAAAATTCCCGGTCGACGACATTGTTAAGACATCTTCTTTACAATGCTTATGACAAACATTACAATGCTCATGATAACTTTTGTTAACTCTACAATAAGTAAATCCACTTCACCAGCTAATTACTCCTCGACAGCGAGGCCATAGAAATATACAGAGCGACCGCAAAAACGGAAGTTCAAAGAAAACGTTTCTCTGGTGCAAAAGGCCATTAACTACTGAAGAGACGATATTACAGGTACATTCGCTAACCTAACATTTCCTTCTTCACTGTCATACAGTATGTTGTTTTAATTATTAAAACTTTACAGTAAGGTCCCATTATTTGATAATGGTCATTAATGCATAAACTATCATTAACTAACAATGAGCAATACATTTGATACAGTTTTTATTCATATTTGTTGTTATTCATATTAGCTTAGGTCCATTGAATAATTTTAAGAGATTGACCTTCTAGTACATCTTTTTTAAACAATGTATTAGTAAATGCTGAAATTATCATGAACTAAAATTTAAAGAAAATTGCCTTAAATGTATTGTCATTCACGTTAACTAATGTAGTTTATAATCTTAACAAATGAAACCTTATTGTAAAGTGTTACCTTAAAGGAAAATGTTTCATGAGTTTTACAAAATCTCTCTTTAATTCCACTTAGCGCTTCACCTGGAGTAGAACGCACCATCAATGAGTCCAACGTGTAAAAACAGATGGCAGTACATCATCCAAAATAGGCACAGACCAAAGGTGAGTGGAGAGGAAATTCCCATCGGATTGTCTAAATTAGTTAATTGTGTTTTTCCCGGTACCACATACAAAATTAGCTGAACAATACTGCAGTGACCAGAGAATATTAATGTGCGTTTACTTATTCCCTTGCTGAACATTTCAACATTCTTGTCAGTACCCTACTTTCAAACCTCATAGACCTCATGTAGAATCGTACAGTACATATTTAAATTCCATTTTGGAGGCATGAGAACATATACCACATAAACATGACTTACATGAGGCATGGTATACAAATAATATCTTCTTATATAATCTATTATATAATCTTATTATATCAGTGAAAATGGAAAGTTCCAATACTGGGTGGGTGCTGATTGGTCAGTACAGCATTCAAGTCATTCTAAAACACAATAATAACAACAATATCAGCTATGACTCAAAACACTTATTTAACTCATAAACCATGACCATATAGGGTGTTTCTACTTATTTTTAATTATGTTTAATTTCCTCATTTTAGAGCCTTATTACATAACAGCTAAATTTATACGACTGCTGAGAGATATTCATTTTCATCATATTTCACATGGCCGATCTGTCATTATTTTCACTCTCTCTCCAGTGTGGATTTCTACAACTCTTGTTTTGTGTGAGAGAGATTTATTGTTTTGGAAGGAACTATAGTTTGAGATGTCTTGAATTCTTGAGCTCTGACGTGTGAGATACAGTACTTTACCATAGAAGTTTGAGACATGGCATGACCTGCAAAGCCAGTTCTGTATGAACATACCTCAACACAGACATCATGACACTTCACCAACACTTCAGCAAGAGGACAAGTGAATGTTCGTAAACACCTCTACATGTGAGTGTGAGAAAGAAAGAAAAAACTCCTTGACAATGAGCAGCTGTTGACAACACACTCTCTTTTGACCTTAGGTGTGAATTTACACTTGAATTTACTTTCAGCTCATTCTCAGGAAGTAATCCCATTTGTTTCCCATGTGTTTTAATGACTTAATTAACATGATACTAAAGCTAGAGTCACATTATCTGACAGATTTAAAGGGATAGTTTACCCAAAAATTCTGTCATTTCCTCACCCTCAAATTATGAATTTATTTCTTCAGCTAAACACAAAAGAAGATATTTTGAAGAATGTTGGTAACCAAATATTTGATGGGACCCCATTGACTTCCATAGTGTTTGTTTTCCATACTATGAAAGTGAATCGGGCCCATCAACTGTTTTGTAACCCATATTCTAAATATTTTGTCCTATTGTTAGTTTAACTGCTTCTATTGAACTCATTTATAAGTCGCTTTGGATAAAAGCGTCTGTAAAAGTATTCTTCGTTATACTTGCGTTAACATAGCTCCCAAAAAAGGCATGTTTTCTCTGTGTGTGCAACTAAAACATTGACTATAAAAAGTGTGGTGTCAAGTGACAATATTTTCTAGTTAAAGCCATTGTTGGTTTGTAACAGAAACTGTGATACTATCAGAATTGGCATCTATTCTAATAATTGTTTAAATATTTGTGTTGCTGAAATGGTAGAGCATGTGGAACTCCAAAGTCAAAGGATCAGGTACCTGGGAATGTCAAATAGCTTGAATGCTCTGTAAATTGCTTTGATTAAAATTAAATGTTAAATGCATTGATATGAAAAATGCAAATTATAGTTAAACTTATTGTGATGGGGCTGAAATAATGCTTTTCCATTAAGTTATGCATATCAAAATACTATTGGTACTTTGCAAGCCTGTGTAACCACAAATTCAGAAGTTATAGAAGGGTTATAGTTTCAAAATCAGCCAATGAATAATCCTTATATATTGAATACTTATAATATTTGGGATATTCCACCTGTAGTGGTTACAATCTTTGGGAGCTGACAATTCAGCAGTACCGGTAATTTCGAATGAAATTATCACCTGTCAATTTTCAGGCCCATATCTCTTTTCGTTTTCAGACAATGAGCTTTTCATTAAAAATTCTGTGTTCTGTGAATGAAATGGGGTATAAAAAACACATTCCAAAACATCACTCTTTCTTTACAAACTACAGATGTGAATTGCAAACACAGGCTGTTTTTCCATTTGAGCGAATAGCAGAGCTGATTTTAATCCTTTAATCTCTGACACACACTAAAAACCTCCTCCCATATCATTTGAAATAGCAAGAAGAAAACCAACAGGTTTCTGCCTCTCACTTTTCAGGTGACTACAGTGATCTAATGGACACTAATGATAGTCATTTAACAAATTCAACGATTTTTCCAACACTGAATGGTCATGTCATAAAGGACAATAGAAAACATCTCATGCATTTCAATCTGCAATTTCAGAAACATCCACCATGTTTCTCTGCAGTATAGTGAAACATTTCAGCAACCTATTATTATTGAGAGCATCAGAAAACATACAAAACATTACTGCTATTTCCACAATCATAAACTATGCCAAACCACTTAGTCACTTAGAATAACCACATAAAGTTCCTATACACATACCTTTAATGTAGTTGGATTTATTTTCATCCAGTAAGCTGGATGATGTTCCCATACTGCTCTGCTTAGTTCAGGTGAGCTCTCTTCTGCTCTGGTGAAGTTGATTCAAATGTCTCTGTATTCACTACTGAGGGAGAATCTGAAAGCAGGTGTTATATTTCAGGACTGTGGGAGTGGCATGAATGAAACTGTTGCATCAGGACAATCAAGGGCTGTCCTTTAAAAGGAGCCGTCTACAACCTGTGATGCCCAAAATGCTGTCTAGTGAGGCAGCTCACTTAGTTTTGACACAGTTACAGCCTAAAATAACATGCCATGATATGTGTTTTATAAATCAGGCTTCTCTGTGAATATAAAGAGCATCTGAGCTGTGATTAAATCTACCAGAGTAGCAGTGGAAGGGAGCTTCAGGGAAGAACCATGGTACATCTTTGTTTGTGAAATATAATATGCATGACATACTGGACAGACTTGATTCCATTAAGGTTTATTACCACGAACAGTTTCTATTCAAACTGTCACACCAGTAAGATAATTTTTGTGCATTTCAGGGAGGGCTACAGATGTACTATGTAAATAAAGCTGGCGTGGCTCTAATTTATGACACCCACATCATTTTTCAAGCTGATGAATTATAAAATCTGAACATATTCAAGTTTATTTCACACCAAACATAAAGAAAAAATATTTATACCATGATTTGTTTTTGTATTGTGACATTTGCATAATAATAAAGCTCATTTCTGTGCTTTTTTAAAATATAATATAATTACATTTCTATAATCACACTGAATAAAAAAGCTCAAAAGTTAAAAATGCATTAATAATGAGAATTCTAGGGGGAAATTAGCTTAAATGTTAAGAAAATAATAAATTAATGTGAAATCAAAAAAATTATAAAAATATGCTAAATATTCTGTTGTTTTTAAGGTAAAATTATATATATATATATATATATATATATATATATATATGAAGAGTTCAGATGCAAAAGCCTCTAAATGCCATTTGAAATTTTCTTCTTGAATGATGATTTTTTATCAAACTTGTATATTTAAGTTCAGTAATTTCACTTAAATAACAATTAATAGGTAATCATCATTGCCATTTAAGTGAAATGACTGAACTTAAATATACAAGCTTGATAAAAACGATCATTCAAGAAGAAAATTTCAAATGTCACTTAGAGGCTTTTGCATCTGAACTCTTCATATATATATATATATATATATATATTTATGTTATGTTATACAGCACAACCGTTAGCAATCTGGAAGAAAAAAAAATGAAGCAAAGGTGAAGTAAAATAGAAAATCAGATCAGATAAGTTAAATATAAACCTTTGAAAGAGTCTTTATTAATATTTTTAAAATGTAAAAATTCAAAAACCAAAGAATAATAGTCAATACTGCATCACCGTCAACACAGACTGATTATTCAAACACTATGAAGCCCTTTAATGGGTCAAAGCCTCTTACTCAAGTTGTCATTGAAAATTTCGAAAACAAACGGAAAAATCGTCAAAAATAGCTACAGCTGACATCTGTGCTGTCCAAACACTCAAATGCATGGTATCTAAAGTCAGAGAGTTAGACGTCGGTCTGAGCTGAGAGCGTTGCTTTGAGGGGCGGATGAGTAGGTAGGCACGCTGTATTTTGTAAGCACTTCCTTAAACTGTGCCAGGGTGGCGTCGGTCCGCACACCTGTTGGGTCAAAGTGTGTGCGGCTCACTCTAAACCCGGCCTCCGTGAGATACTGCAGGAACTTATTCAGCCTGAGAGAGAGGAACAAACCTCAGTGTCAGATTCATGTACATGTATTATTGTACATCAATGACAGTGTATGGAGAAGTTTGTGCTGACTAACTTAGGCATGTTCATGCCGCGGATGCTGTGCCGATGGATGCTGTAGTAGAATGCTGGATGCTCCAAAGATGTATCTGATTTGACTTTCTTCAGCACATTCCCACAGTCCTCCCCTGTGGGCTTTCTTTTCCCTGAACACAAAAAAGTAAAAGAAAAAGAAATACACTTTATTATCTATTCAATCAGCTTTTATTATACCATAAACCTTAATCTGGGATGACCTAGGAACAGTGAAATCCCTGAGAACAGCAGATAAAAGACCTTGATAAAGCAACAAATACCTGACTGGTCAGATGTATCCGCCTCTTCAACCTTCTGTAAAGTTTTTATGACCACACCACATTCCACTAGACAAAAATGTGTCAAATTAATTAAAAAATACAAGGCAAAAATCAAAGCAAGTTCAGATTTATCATTTTCACGCTGTATTTAACGAATGATGGGCAAAAACTTGCACACCCAAACAAACCTTGGTTGGAGAAGCCAGAGAATCCCGGGACAGGGAAAGGTTTGAGAGTGGTGCAGTCAGCTTCACAAATGAGTGTCTTCACCAGAGGCTGGATGTCTTCCATATTGTGCTGCACTGTTGCCACCAACATCCGCCTCAGAAATCCAGTGTTAAACAGAGGGCCGGCCCTGGTGGATGGAAGAGGTAAAAAATAAAAATAAAAAATGGAGTCATTAATGGAGGAATTAAGCAAACAAAAAAAGTATGAATGACATCATCTCACCAAAGTGGTCCAAGCTCTACTGCTGTTTTTCCTGGCATACTCCCATGGCACTGGCAGGGCAGCTGTCTGTACAGGTTTTCTGTATATACCACAAGCAGGAACATGCATTCACATTTATGGATTTGGCAGTTATACATTTGATCAGTTCATGCATTTGATTCATGCATGGGAATCAAACCCATGACCTTGCCATTACTGTTGCCATGCTCGACTATTTTGGCCACAGGGACACTATCAGGATGTTTGTACAAATGCTTTCTCACCTTCCACCATGCTTCCTGGCTTGAAGAACACCCTTTCTTCACACCACTGGCAGTGCAACAGCTGCCGCAGTTTCTTCGAGGACTCGTCTGCCTGGGTGGGCCCTCTAAGAACTCGCACCACCACGAGGACAAAGTGCTCAAGAGCTACAGCCAACAGCACTTCAATCCCTTTGTTGCAGCGTGCAGCCGCCCTGAAATGACATGCATTAACAAGACGGTTTGCAAACGGTCTAATAAAATGAAGATGTGTATGCCGATTCATTTCAGAAAGACCTCCCCACCTGGCCACTGATGCCAATACCATACGCGCTGCGAGTTCCCTGTAATACTCAGTTCGGACTATCTGGCAACCGTAATGTCGAAGCGTCACATTCAGGGATTTAGAGTAAAGCGAACCGGTGTCTGTCGACGTCACAGAGACGATGCCCAGGTTCCGAACGTTACGAAAAGCAGCGTCCAGATAGTTTACAGCCGTTCCAAATGGGTCAAGGTGTCTGATTTTAAAACAAGAATGCAATAAATGATTATGCGTACAATGTTTTTAGTCTTCGTTAGTCTGTCACTCACATGTAGTCGAAGGGTCTCAGGTGCAGGATGACATTGGCGTCCATCTTTACCACCTCCACGGAGGCAATGGGTGAGTCTGGATCTCCCGCTCCGTCGAGCTGCCGGCCCGTACGAGTGCCCTCTACTCGGATGTGGTTCAGATGACAATTCTCCTTAATCATCTTCACGCAAGCTTCGCTTAAGTCATTTATAGTAACCTTTACAGAGTTGCGCAGATGCTTTGCCCACTGCAAACCCATGATTCCTACAAAAAGGATCAATGTTGCAAATAGGTATTACGACCCTTTTCATTTTTATCAAATCATTCGGAGCAAAAACTGAGCAGTGCTATTTATCATCCTGAGATGTTAGCTCTTTCTGTACAGTACATTTCCTACCAGTCGCTCCAAAGGCATCGAGACATTCAAGTGGATTCCTCTCCTCAGCAAGAACAGCAAGAGAGCAGAACACCAGCTGCCTACAACAATCACATTTTAGTGAGATACAATCATAAAATAATCAGCACAATGAGAGTATGAAGGATTTTTTTGGAATTTATAGGGTTTTTCAACAGGGTGTCCACGACCTGTTGTCCATATCTGTTTATATAAATATTTATATAAACAGATATAAAATATCAAGTAGATAATTAAGTATAACTTCAGCCAAAGATACATTTGCTACAGTATGCTACAGTACAAATAAATATTTTATTGTAATGTGGGTTTACATATTAAATCTTTTACCAGGTACACATTTAAATAACGAGTCGTACGTCAAATAAAATTTATTCTCCAACCTGTTTGTCTTCATCTTGCGGTTGAAGTAGGTGTCAGTCTTCTGAGGTGTGGTGTGGTTGGGCAGGAGCTGGACATTGGTGCCAAGTTCTTTCATAATCTCACAAGCCTGTCCACCTGGGACTGAGAAAGAAAGAGAATCAATGCGGAAAAATAATTTGGTAAATATTGACTAAATGCAGAAGAATAGCGTCCTTAAAAAAAAAAAACTGTAAAAAGGCTGAGGAGTACAACGCTCTTCAGATGCTGCCTACACAAATGCCCTAATGAGTGGATTTAATATGCAATTGAATAAATTATTTGCTTAATGCTGTAGCGAATTACTAAAAAGCAAAGCAAAAAATGGAACTAGTATTTTTATGAAAACAATCCCAACATCTACATTATTCCACATTAACAAACTGGCATCATGTTCAAGCTGTTCTCTTTCATTGGCTATTGTCTCACCCTCTGAGACACTGTCAGCACAAATGCACAATTACCGGTCATGTCAGTAAAGCACATAAAACATTTTAAACAGCAATAGAGTAAAAGCTCACCAGGCTGTTCAAAGGGTACATCTGAGCTGCCTGAATAGCTGGCCTCTGTCTCACCCTTGTTGAAGTGGCGTTTGAGATGACTGATCATGTCTGTCTTGCGAGCAATAGTGACAGAGCAAACCACACAGTGGTAGTGAGCCACAAGTCTGCTTTGAGTCTGGAGATGAGGGGAACAAATACATACCTTTATTCATTCAAGAGGATGTAATTAAATTATCTGTACTGTCCAACTACAGGAAAACGGATAAAAAGGATAAAAAAAAAGGATATTTATATATATATATAAAAGATATATATATATGTATATATATATGGTTGGGGTCAGCAAGATATTCTTCTTTTATTCAGCACATTTGAATGAGTTATGAAGGATCGTGTGACCCTGAATACT